AGACATGGTACGCCAAACAGAGATTTTGGCTTGGCTATACTTGGTCGTTTGATATGAGCTTCGTCACTAAAACGCTATCACATTGAATCTATAAACAGACTGGAAAATTAGCAAATTGGTATAGGACATCAACACTATCAAGCAAGGCAAGATCAGTTCGAGTCCCACACAAGTATTAGCTTGTGATTGTTCTCGGAAAGTACTGAGCACACGAAGGGCAACCTAAAAGGCAGTTTAGGATCACTGCAGAAAGTCGTGTATACATGTGTAGTATTAAAGTGCAATGGCCATTTTAAAACACCAAACACAACACAGACATATTTGGATACTGTACTGTCCAATTAGTTCCATCAATAATGTACAGTTCATCAGCAATTGGTATTGCCTTTTTTGTAACTGCACTGAGAGAAACAAAGGAGGCAGATTTAATAGTTGTCAAGGCTTTTTTTCATGAAGCATTACCATGATAGCTTACACTGGTACCAATCACTATGGCAACCTGCTCTTCCCTTCTCTTCACTGAACCAATCAGTGCAGCAGGTGCAGTGATGGATAAGACACACGTTTCCTTCTTGCAGTCCCAGCTGATAAGCTTTTAGTTAACGAGGCACGTGATAATGATGGAAATGAGAAGGGCACCTGTACTTTAGTGATACATGTACATCAATCGGTCGCCACTTTTTAACGCGGTATTCAGTTCCATGTTTGCATTGAGGTTTAATTTAAAAAAAAAAAAAAAAAAAAGCACTGTGGACAGTTCATTGTGAGTTAATGACAGGATCCCATTCAGCCTCTTGAGAGGGGCCAAACTTTCCTTCGTCATGTCTTCAAGAACCATTTCAGCCATTTCACAAGTGAACAAGAGCACGCAAGTATACGAAATGATGACGTGCATACAGAATTGAGACAACATGTTCAGTGTAGGCACAACCACAACTGTATGCATTATTATAGACCTCGGGGTTCCATACCAAGATGGCCGCGCGCAAGAGGGTATTATCAGGGCACTCGCTTGTAAATCTGCTAGAAACGTTTGAGTCAACGTTTGACAGGCCAAAAAATATCTTAAAGACTTTTTTAAATTAGACTTCTAGTCCTGGGTATGTAGTACCTTGTGCTGTTGGGAAATCAGTACCAATAGATACACAAACTCGAATTGCCCAGAACCCAAACCTGAACTGATCGAAATGTAGGGATCCTGAGAACACAACACACAGTGGGAAAAACAACATCCTAGACATGAAAACAAAATGGAAGGCATGGAAGATAGGCCAAGGGGAATCAAAGACATAATCCGCAGTTGCTTTCTTGGCAAGCCCTGCTAAGCCTAGTAGCTCTGTAACACAACACTCCAGAGGATATATGTGCGGAGGACCAAAATATTGTACCGGACGATGCAACGTGGAGAGAAGACCGATTACCTGGCCTGTTTGGCTATGCAGACTAGGGGTGTGCTGAGCACTAATTGAATGAGTTTTCACAAGGGACCAAGAAGTATGCCTTATTATTTTAAAGGATCACAGCGGTATACGAAACGATGAATTTACATTCGCTATAGGGGCAAGGAAAGATGTTACAATAGGCTTTCAAAAAGATTCGCTTTAAATTGGTAGACTGTCATTTGGGCGAGGAGAGATGTTGTAAAAGGCTTTCCAAATATCTTTTACTAAATGAATTGTCTCGCCACCTAAAACGGAAATTAACTTTCATGTCTAATGCTGTTTCACTGTTCTTCATCACTGGCTATACATACAGCAAATATTCCTTCCTTTTTTTAGGTTTAGTTCTTCAATTGAAAAGATTTCCAATGCAAGCTGCATGTTGCTTTGCACCGAAAGAAAAGAAAGTCCACACTCATTGGAGGGGTCGTAATTTTGAATCTGATCGTCTTATGATGACGTCATTGATATAGACCTTTGAAAAATATTGTTGGCTACATTTTAATACCCCGTTTGCTGCCAAAGTCTGTAAATCGTCCAAGATTGACAACGGTTTATGAAAAATGATGCAGTTTGAAAAGTTGTTGCAGTATATGCTGAGTGCGGTACGTCTGGCACACAGGTTTTCCGGAAAACGATATTTTCCATATTAAAGTAAGGATGTGGGAAGCGTGCACTGTTGAGTACTTTTCATCTTTTGGCGGAATTATACCTTGGGATGCGGACATGGAGTTTACCTTGGAGTACATTGGACGGAGATAAACCATCTACCTTTTTATGTACTCGCCTGCCCCCTCCCACCCCCTTTTTTATGTGAACCATCCAGCAACTTGGCAGGTTAGCCCGAGTTCATTTTATCACAAGCTCCCCAGCCCAAGACTCCGGAGTTTTATTTTCGTTAACAAGTAAGGAGGCCTTTTGATCATTTCTGGGTAAAGAACCAGGTTCTAATTAGGCGCCAAAATTGGCTGGCTAGCTGCGAAATGAAATCTCAATTATGTCGCAAGGTCGTCATCCCGTATATGCGGGGGCCGAGCCTGCATTGAATATTTCAGTTTGAGTCATGCATTTAACTGAACATGTTTATTGAATGTGTGCGTTCTGACTCGATGATATGAACACTACCATCTGTTATTTGACCGCCATGTAAAAACATAATGATTTTCTCAACTCCAACAGTAATTGCTTTCCGATGTTCTGATTTTCATAACCTCATTTTGAAATAGTGCGCTGTATTCAGTGGCGGATACAGGATTTTCCAAAGGGGATTGGCTGGGGTGTTGAAGTCCAATGGTTGGGGTGGAAGAGTCGTTGCAGTCAACGCAAGATCAAAGGCCTGAACAATGAATCAAGATTCGCAACATTGGACGATGCTATGACGTTATTGATTTGGGTTTTTCCACTTATTTACATGTACATACTTAACATTGGTTTGTCGGAGGAGGGGTTAGCCACCCAACCACGCCCCTTGGATCCACCCTTAGTAGCAATAGTTTTCTTATTAATAATAATTATTATAACAACGGGAGAAGTAGCCCTGAATCCGAATTCACATATCGCCAGAAGAGGGCGCTATATACCCACACAATTCATTGATGCCTGGAATTTTATACAAGCAAAGCCTGTGCAGCGTGCATGTGCAGTACGTGCCAACGGATGTGTTCAAGGCGAGTTGATAAGTAGCACCACGCGTATTTTTGTCAGTAAACAATCGTCATGTGGCATATCGCCCGAAAGTGTTAATATTTACCATCCAAATCGATGCGCTTAAAAAGATCTTCAACAAAGAGAAAACATTTAGTAACAATTATCACAGAATCTCCTTATCGAGAGAAGAGGGATAGCTTTTATACGCTCGTTTTCGCGTTGGTTTAAAAACTGTCATGCCTGCCAATATAGCACACAAAGGACGGTCTTCCTCATAAGAGAAGTTATATCTTGGAGTGATATATTGCGATGGTATCTGTTAAGCAGCTTTTCCGCCCCTGACAAAATGTGACACGGGATTAATTGGTGACTTAATGTAGCCTCAGCTGGCTCCATATATCGCCCGAAGTTATACCAAGCCGCAGTCTAACCCGGTTACCATTGATCCACGCCGATATGCCTTTAGTATTCAGTGCAGTTCGGCGGTATCTATACCATTGCCGCTATAAACAGAAAATTGTTTGGCTTCGAAATATTATTCCTCATAAAAATGAGGTCATGACATGCGTTAACTACGCATAAGTTAGCACGATAATATGAGGCTTTCTTTTTATTCTTATGTTTTGTTGTCATAGCAATTGAAAATGAACTGGTAATGAATACAAAAAAGTAAGCCCATTAATATTTCTATAGTAAACGAGTCGGAACTGTGTAAATGAGATTATACCGTCTTTTTACCCAACATGTTAATGATACCCTATCGCTTTGTTTTGACAAACGGTCGTGTTTACATCTGAGGTCTTGAATTGCAAATCGAGGAGATGAAGAAAAGAATGTTCGTTTTACAACCCCAGGGACAAGGAATGTAGGTATCTGTTCAGAGAGACGTCTATTTCCGACACTGCGAAATGACACTCCAAATACCCAGTGAGAGGCAGGGGATATCGGGTGGGAGTTATTTAATTAAAAGTGGCTGAAGTCAAGACGACCGCCGAGTGTATTGAATACACGGGCAGTGAAACATGAGAGTGGCGCTTTTGGGAACGAGGAACAGACGTAAAGGAAACGTGGGGGAAATATGTCGGGGGTTATATAAGATTGAAATTGAAAATCACGCAACAAGAAGGACGTCTTGAGGGATCTCATCCAACATCAAAGAGTGTAAGCTGAGACCATAAGGACTCCGGAAATAAAACAGAAGTGGGCGATGACGAAAGAGCGTCCGGTGACTTGAAAACCATGAAATTAAGAACGATCGCTGCAACGAATCGTCAACTATAGATTACAATTAGTTATAGGCTAATTATGTTCCAGCTGATCATGCTCTCTTTTGGTTTTTGGTCTTGGTTTGAACATGGAGCTATTTGAACGTCACTTTAGACGTACCTTGGTCCTCAGGAGAACAAATTTACTTCCCTTTTTTATTTTAAAATTGAGGTTTCCGTTCATCCCTTCCAGTAATTTCTTTAACCAGAACTTTGGGTGCTGCAGTTCTCAAAATTTCAACAACATAAAAACATTATACCAAGCTACTCTTCTCGATGTCATTTCCCTTCCCCCGTTTCAAGAAGAGATTGAACTTGATACCAAAACGGTAAAGCTTTATATTGTGTGCACAAATCAAGCAGTAAATATCATACGGACACGAGCCTTTTAATGTCCTGTGAAGAAAGCGGCCTTTAGCCATCTGGTGGTTTATTTTGGTTATCATCCGGCGAGTTGATTCTCCCGCCAAGAGGGTTCACTAGGTGCGTGTGTGTCTCTCACTGCTTGCGAACGAACACGTGCATGTGTAATCTTCCGTCAGCGGTGAGCAGACGAGATGAGGTTGAACTGTGTTGAAAAAGAACATGCTTCAGATCAGAATGCAGTCAGTTGACAAGTACGTGGCGTAAATGCAAGACCTCTTCATCGTGCCTGATCGCCGTGTATATATTTCCTCGCCGGTGACTCCATACAAATTGGCCGGAAACTGGAACTCATGCCTACTTGATATGTGAAACATTTCCGCGTAAACTTGATCTTGAACAACGTCGTCCGGAGTGTTGGAGTGTGCCTCCTAATTGAATGAAAAGGTGGGGAATTTAAGCTGTGAATGCGGAGGAGACGTCGATAGTTGAGTGGAGTTATTCTGGCGCGAGATATCACAAGTAATGTTGGAGTGTTTTGGGTGCATGGATGTACACACGCACGCGATGATGTTGTGTTTGCTGGCTGGTCATCGCATTCCAACGGCCGTGTTGGTATAAACCAGGGTATAAACCGACTAGACGTCACGAGGGCTTAAAGAGGTGTTTGAGTTTCATCGGCAGATATAATTTTTCACGCCGGTATATATTCTACGAGCCGGACTGTGGGCCCGCCTGAACACCAAAAATAGGTCCTAATGAGAGTTGGCAGGGGTCTGATTGGGGAGATTTTGCTGGGCACTAGCGGCGCTGCAGCGGGAATCAGGATGGCCACTTTGCGGGACCTGCAGTTCGCCTTGCAGGAGAAAATCGAAGAGTTGCGTCAGAGGGACGATCTCATCGACGAGTTGGAGCTGGAACTGGACGAAAAAGATTCCCTCATCCAGCGGCTGCACAATGAACTGGACAAGTACCGCTCGGTCCTCAGACCGGTCGCAAAACAGGCCATGCAAAGGACACGTCAAAAGAGACTTGGTATCTCCGCCGAGAGTGCCCATGAAATTCAAGAAACCGCCATGGGAAATCTCAAGTGTTACCGAAAACCACAACAGTAAGTGCTCAGCTGTTAATGTAGTGGCAACCCCTTTCTAGTTCTTCAAAACACGTGTTGTGCGCGGTGCGCATTACGGCAACTGGCGCGCGGCATGCGTGCTATCTCATGAAGATAGCACTCGTAAATTGGCGCGAGACCATTGAATAATTCCAAACATTTCGAAGTATGCACTTCAGCATTTCGAGTGGCAAATTACATTATATTTGTTGTAGACACGTTGATACCAGGCAACTGTAATTTGGTACTACTGAGGGAATGAAGAATTTACTATCGTGCTGAGAACCTTTATATTTTGAGAAATTTAACTCCCCCGACAATATTTCATTTGGTCTCTAAAACGTGCTTCCATCTGTTGATATAAGAATATCGGCATTGCATTTCATCTATAAATTTAAGGGAATGCTTGCTTTATTTGTGTCTACCAATTGTAGGAACTGTGAAGAATGAGGGATGGATAATTTTAACTTGGCACATTGTGTCAACAGAAGGATGTTTAAAAACACTTCAGTTGGTTGAATATTGACAAAGTTCGTCCAATCTTTTTTAAGTTCATTAGAGTTCACTTCATTAGATTAGATCGGTGGTGTCAGTTATGCATACTTTCTCATCTATTCAGTGCTTGTATATAAATCAGGGGAAATGAATTGTGATCATCCAGTTAGAAAATTCAACAATTGTGTTAAAGGGAAAATACAACATTTGCAAACATCAAAAAATAAAACTACCAAATCATTTTGAAATACCTTGCTGGACTGTTAGTGAATGACAGTGTAAAGCATCCTGTAAAATCATGGCACCTGGTATACTGTCATTTTCAAGAAAAGTGGTATTTTTGTATCAATTTCCAACGCTGATCGGCCGATCAGCGTTGGAAACAACTGGCTTTTTTTCAAATACTGGCCCCAATTGACCATCACACTTGTTTGCAATCGATTACAAACCTATGAACGGGTACGAGCCAGCTAGACTGGTTCCCTGACCTTACAATTCCCCAATGTATGTTAAAGGCTCTGTTTCTTCTTATATGGAGTCAGGGAACCAGACTACAGGAAAATGATCGTTTTTCTTGGTTTTTATAGCATTTTCAAACACAAAACCTCAAAAAAGTCAGTGTAACTATTTTTGCTATATATTTCCAACCCCCCAATTCCATCCATTTATGAAAATTACAGCAAAAGCAAATGATGTATATTCCCTTTAAATATTAGTATGTAGGTCTATGTATATGCATACAATTACAAAATGATTAGCATAAAATCTTGTGTATATTAACTAGTGCTATTTGTTACAATTGTTCCCTGTTCTGCCAATATATGGACTTTGGTCCAAACATGCAAATGAGGCAGTTAGATTGCTTTTACATTTGGACATATTAGACAGTATACTGTCTCAATTGTTGGTACTTCAATTCAGGTTGAAAATTTATATCGAAATAAAAAAAAATACCAAATGTAAAGGAACTTAAAAGTATTAGCAACCGAAATATAATTTTCTGAACTACCATGCTTTAAACCATACATCGACACATACAAATATCCACAGAATTTGAAAGACATAAAAGCATACTGTGCACATCACATGCAATCCATTATGTAATAGAATTGCTGCGTTCTTACTCTTACCACCTAAGGGGATTCAATGTGTGCCAAATTTGACACCTAATTGCAATCAAACAGCAGGTTGATCCATTAAAAAGGCACCACAGGGCACTTCAGGTAGATTTGTGCAAGCTTTTTATAATAGGGACATTCTGAATGCAGAGATATCAATAGGTAAATTGCACATTTTAATGATTTTTTTGTTACCTTTCAATGATTTTTATGTTTGCCCATTTTTTGTTAAATGTTCATTGTATGAACATTTAAAATTGGTTTTGATTTGTGTAGTCTATCAATTTGTTTCTTGAACATCTTCATTCAAGAAAAAACATTGACTATGAATAGGGATTTTTTAAAATTAAATTCAGCACTTAACATGTGGAAAAGCTTGTGCTATTATTTTGGTATATGTGCATGTATCCTTGTTTGTTACTTCAATGCCTATGGTTGCATATACCACAACAGACATGCCTGGTGTGAGTGAAATTTACTCATTCTCTCTTCATTTCAAAAACTGACCTGGCAAAGCAAAGAAAGTGATTGATGTTTACAGTTCTCCCTAAACTTTGACCATAGACGTGGCGTTAATCAAATATGGGACTCTCCTAAAGACCAGGCATTGTACTGGTCTCATGGTCGTTAAGAGTAATTTAGTTGCCCTCTGGGAGGCAAAATTGTTGATAAATTGTGAAACCTTTCAGCTAATGGGTTGAACAGAAGTGAGGCATTACTGGGATTTTTAAAAATAGATTAATAATTTAAAAGAGTACTTTGGTTCTATTTAATCTCTGACGTTGGAAAGTACTACTGTTGAACTGTTCAACATTTTCATGTCCACTTTGATACTGTTGGTAGTAAAATAATCTGATACTTTTAGTAATGCAGATTACAGAACTTTGACATGATGTCAAAAGAGGTAGTTTTATGTTACAACCTGGTATGCAGTAATGTATCTCGCAATTTTTTTCCAGCAAATTTCATAAGTAACTCAAGCTTCTGCATCGTTTGGTATAATCAAAACAAAACTGTGATGTATGGCTATCTCATACCCAAATGTCATGAATTCAAAATATTGGCATACTTCAAATTACAAAGAAAGATAAATACACTATATTATGTAAACTAAACTCCCTTAAAAAAACATATCAGCTACAATTTTCCAACCATGAAATTCTAAGTAATAAGTTGCCTCCAAAAAGCTTGGAAGAAAATGAAGAAATGCAGTGTTGTGATTGACAGTGTAAAGTCTGTAACATGATGCATTCAAAAACATGCCAAACTAAGGGAGATGAAAACATATGATCAAGGTTGAATTCTCCATGGGCATGATGGGATGTTACATTTTTTTTTTTTTGGTGGTCTCCATTGTTAAGCTGAAATTGTACATGTATTGATTTGAATACAACAGTTCTCTATTATTTTATTAGTGAGGTGCAGTTTATTCTTTTGCATGTACATGTGGTTGTTTAATAAAGGTTTCCATGGGAACACGAGGGGTCTCTGCGTAGAGATGCTTCGGTGTTTGTGAACAGGTTCGTGCCCGGAGCTAGGCTAATTTGCAGGGATTGAGCAGCCTCCATTTTCGCAAGCGTATCGCAGTGGTGGACTTACTGCAATTAAGGAAAGAGAAACAGGCACTGCGGGGATCTTATTAGCTTGATTGCAGAGTTTGCTGGCCCGCTTTCATTCAGCGGAAAATGGCTTGTAGCGATCCTACTGCACGCTTTGTTGTTTTGATAGGGAAATCACAATGCAATTTGCAAATCTCAACTCACTTTAGGACTGTTTGTTGGAGCATGTTGATTGGCACAATCGTTTTTGTTTGTTTATTCTTTAATTTCATAGAGCCCAGGACGTTTCAGGTCAATCCAGTCGATAAATAGTTTGCAGCAATTTAATTAATTTCATGTGTCTTTTTTTTTTTCTTTTTTCTTTTTTATATTCTGTGCAGTGCATGTGCACTTTGCAGGTTCATGTAACTTTTCTCATAGGTGCCATATTACAGTTGTCTGTCAATTATAAATTTGTGTACTGTTCATCACAAGAATGGCCAGTACATTGTGTACATGGTTGGAATTCCATACATGTATGTAGTGAAAGCTGGAAAATACTTACATGTAGGATTTGAATATTCATAAGATGAATTTTTTTCAAAAGGATTCAAAAGGAATTCAAAAGGATTTGAATATGCTAGTGATTCAAATGTGTGTGTGTTGATCATTCCAACTACATATCTCGAAATACATGTACGTGTACACCTCCGTCGGTTTTTTCTTTTACAAAAAATTGCTTGTGTAAAAATAACTGCTCCATAGATATGCTTGTATATATAAACTTCATATCAGTTACTCCAGGATTTACATTTGTAAGCATCATGAGAGAAATGCCACATGACAACTCTTTGTGATAATGTGTGGCATTTTGTTTGCACAAAACTGCATGGAACTTCAAAAACAGGCACCGCCGGCAGTTGTTGACACAGAAGCAATTATGAGCGACAGGATCCGTGGCTTGAGCTTGAAAAAAAAAAAAAAGAATGAACAAAAATAATATGAACCAAAATATGTGATGCGATCCAGCTAAACAAGTCATTTGTCGGGAACTTTCATTTGGAGATTTAGGCCAAAACTGGGCCACTTCATCACATCACTTCATCACATCTCTTAATGTTCCAACTTCCATAATTTTTGAAAACTAAAGATGGTATCAGCATGCGGTTTTCACAGCAGTAATGCTGAGATTGTGTTCATCAAATTAAAAAAAAAAATTGACCAGGGTTGACAAACGACTCATTTTTTTAATTAGCTTGATCGCATCACATGATATTAGAATGTAAAAATGCAACTTGAATTTGTGCATGTCATTAAGACCCGTTATAGAGAGCAAGAAAATTCACTTATTTGTCAGCCTTGTCTTAATTACAGATTTGTAATTCGAATCAGATTCGAACCGGCCAACCGATCCCATCAGCTCGGTGGTCGAGTGGTAAGACATCTGCACTAGAAAGCAGGAGGTCGTTGGTTCGAATCCCACCCGAGTGATTTTTTCCAACTTTCACTCGGGAGGTACATGTAACACACTGAATATACAGTGTTTAAACATCGGTGAAGGGCAAAACCTAATTTGATTTATATCACCCCGACGCAAAATTCCATCTTATAATACAGATTTGTTGTTAGTTATGTTGTGCTGGGTGGGGATAGAAATAGTGTTTGCCATAGTGCCAATTGAAGAAGTCTGGGATCATCCAGGGATGCCATATTGAATGATGCACTTTTTGACCAGCTTGATGCATTGATTGACTCATGTAAATGCAGAGTGCTGTGAATCAGACGCACAGTCTTCCAGTCATGGTCTGGTATTTGAGCCTTGAGTAGTGCGGTTTCAATGTAGAAGTAG